GGAATCTACAGCATGCAAAAGCATATCAAGAACAAATGGAGCAGATGGAAGATCTCGGCTTTTCGCGAAAGCTAACAGAAAGAGAAATAAATGATTACAAAGGTCCCGTTCACTATATAGCTCACCATGAAGTTGTTCGACCTGATAAGAAGAGCACGCCAGTAAGAATCGTATTTAATTCTTCAGCGAGATACAAGGGACACTGTCTTAACGATTGTTGGATAAAAGGTCCTGACCTTTTGAACAGCATGTTGGGAGTTATCCTCAGATTCAGAGAGCAACCGGTCGCTCTAAGCGGAGATATATCAAAGATGTATCACAGAATTGGAATACCTGAAGAAGACCAGCATGTACATCGGTTTTTGTGGCGAGATATGGATACAACTAGACCACCAGACACTTACGTAAAAACTGTGTTAATTTTTGGTGACAAACCAGCACCGGCAATGGCACAAATTGCATTGAGGAAGACAGCAGACCAAGCAGAAAACGCTCATCCATATGCAGCCGAAGTGTTGAAAAAGAATACGTACATGGATGATATTTGTGATTCCGTACCCAATGTCGAATGTGCCCAGCAATTGACGAAAGATCTGGACGAAATCTTAGATAAAGGAGGCTTTAAAGTGAAAGAGTGGTTATCGAACGAAATTCTAGAAGAAAATCTACCGTCTGAAGAAAGATCAAGTGTTAAGTTTTTGGAAGGTGAATCCGAAGAAAAGGTTCTAGGTGTTGTCTGGAACAATAGTAAGGACGCTTTCACGTTCAAATGTAAAGCTAATGAGCTATCTGTACCGTCACAAGAAAATTCAAGCGAGTTGAAATTAACGAAGAGAAAGATCCTTAGTAAAGTGGCTCGTGTATTTGATCCAATTGGATTCGCAGCGGCGTTCCTGATCCGTGCAAAAATCGGTTTACAACGACTCTGGCAGCAAGGATTAGATTGGGACGAAGAACTTTCATCTGAGGTTTCAAAGTGGTGGACTGAGTTTTTTGCAGAAATCGAGGACTTGAATAATGTCTCGTTCCCAAGAAGTTTAACACCAATGAACACTATTGGACTACCGACACTTTGTATTTTTGCGGACGCGTCTCGAGATGCATTTGGAGCATGTTCTTATTTACGCTGGGAAAAGTCAAGTGGTAATTATGAAAGTCGATTTATATCTGCTAAGTCGAGAGTTGCCCCTCTTAAAGAATTGACAATACCTCGTTTGGAGCTACAGGCAGCAGTTCTAGCTAGTCGATTGTACAAGACCATAATAGAAGAATGTCGTTTACAGTTCGAGAGAGTTATTTTCTTTACGGACAGTATGATAGTCCTTACATGGATCCGTAGTCAGTCAAGAGAATTCAAACCATTTGTGTCGAGCAGGGTTGCGGAAATTCAAACGAATTGTGATCCATCGACATGGAGACACATACCAAGTGAGCACAATGTAGCCGATGATTTATCAAGAGGCATTCCAGCGAAAGATCTAGAACACCGTTGGAAGAATGGCCCAAAGTTCCTGAATCAACCCAAAGAAGAATGGCCTGAACAACCAGCTATGCCAATCGATCCCGCGGAACTCGACAAAGAACGTCGAAATACCCAAGCAGCCTTTTCCTTAAGCACCGTACCGACAGTAATTGACCCAACGAAATTTTCGAAGTGGAAGAGATTGGTGAGAGTGACGGCGTGGATCTTACGATACATACGAAATCTACGATTAAAAACAAAACCCGAAGATAATGTCGACCCGTTAACAGCTGTTGAGTTAGAACAGGCTGAAGAGTTATGGATCAAGACAGCACAAAAAGAGTTACACGAACGTGTTAAGAACAAAGAGTTCAATATGCTTAGTCCATTCACAGATGACAAAGGAATCATAAGAGTCGGCGGACGAGTGGATAAAGCTATCGTAACGTATGATTCGAAGCATCCAGTACTTCTTCCCAAGAACCACCACATTTCATACCTGATTACCAAAGATGTACATCAGATTACTCACACTGGGATAGCGTCGACAGCGGCGAAAACAAGAAGAAAATTTTGGATTATCGGAGTGCAAAAATTGGCAAAGTTAATCAAGAAAAAGTGTATTTACTGCAAGAAGTCGCATCCAAAGATTGAATCGCAAGTTATGGCTGAACTGCCGAAGATAAGATTGATGCCTCAAACACCTCCATTTTACCATACAGCTTGTGACTATTTCGGTCCGTATAAAGTCAAAATTGGAAGAAATAAAACCACTAAACACTATGGTGTTTTGTTTACTTGTCTGAACACTCGGGCAGTTCATTTGGAACTTGCAACAGACTGTTCAACAATGGAATTCATCCAAGTACTCCGAAGATTCTTCGCGATTAGAGGTTACCCTTCATTAATGTTGAGCGATAATGGAACACAACTGGTCGGCGCAGAGAGCGAACTAGCAAAGATGATCCAAGGTTGGGATGTGAAGAAACTCAAGGAGTATGCAGCAGATAAAAGAATGGAGTGGAAATTCATTACTCCTAATGCCCCACATCAAAACGGATGTGCCGAATCGTTAGTAAAAAGTTGTAAATTAGCCCTTAAACAAGCCATGGGAGATAACCTTCTCACACCATTTGAATTGCACACCGTACTGCTTGAAGTAGCAAATCTGGTAAACCAACGACCAATTGGTAGACCAATCAACGACCCCGATGATGGTACATACCTATGTCCGAATGACCTTTTATTAGGAAGAGCTTCCTCGCATGTTCCACAAGGACCATTCCTGAAGACAAAGAACCCGCGTCATAGAGTTGAATTTCTACAACAGATTCTTGACTCGTTTTGGAAACGATGGACCAGAGACGTCTTCCCCTGTTTAGTTTCACGAAAGAAATGGGATGTTCAACGACGCGATGTCAAAGTCAACGATATTGTCATGTTAGTTGATTCGAATGCGGTACGAGGCAATTGGACGATCGGAAGAATTATTGAAGTTCATCCAGGTAAAGATGGAAAAGTTCGAAATGTAACAGTAAAAACACAAAATGGTAATTACCGAAGACCTATTACTAAAATCTCAGTAATACACCCCGTGGACGGAGAATAGAATGAGAACAATGTCCTCATTGGGGTGGAGGATGTTTCGCTAATTTAAAAATAGATAAATAATTACGTCATTGAACAGACAAAGTCACGTGACAGAAAATAGCGGGAAATAAACACGTTGGTTTTAAGCTGTTTACTCGAGGTTTAACGTTCAGAAATAGGTTTATATTTGGTGTATTGTAAAGTGATATAGGCCAAAGAAGTAAGTTCATGTTGTTTATCATAACTAATTTACTTTATTCAGTAGATAATTCTTGTATTTATACTTTTAGATCGAATATTATTATTACTAACTACTACAACTGATTATTATACGATATTTGGAAATTATTTGTGGTCACTTTACATTCCGTTTCTGATTCTGGCGAGCCACGTACCTTTGCAACGTTGCCCCACAGAAACACTGGCAAGCGGCATTTGTAATAGTTTCCTTCTGGCATTTTTTGACTTGTATGTGATATTTGGACAAGCGATTTCAAAAGCCAATTTCAACTGCACAAAACCTTTCTGTAACACAATTTTTGCAACGCGTAGTAACCCAGCACAATTTTCGCAAGGTTGCCCATGCTTAAGTTTGCAAAATCTCAACCGGGTATCAACATAAACTTTTAACGAAAGTCCCTGGAAAACGGAAACACAAATATCATTATTAAGTTTTTCATAACAAGACAACTGTTTTTTTTGTTCATTTTGATAAATCTGTAAAGTTTTATAAATTTCCTCTCCGATACCATCAGGGGCTGCTTGGGAGGAACTTATTAAAAACTTTGACTTTGTACTTCGCCCATAGAATCGGCATTTGCATGTTCATCTGATAGAAGAATAAGGGATTCATCACTGGCCACGATCGAAGAGCTGTTTGAACGATTTAAATGGAAGTTTCGTCTGGTTTGGCATTTGACAATTTATCGAAATGATCCAGAATGGTCGAAGTGCCCTCTTTTTCTTGGGAATGATCTTCACCTTCACTTTTCTTTGGCTTTTTTGAATGATACCATTGCGATTTCGATTGCGATTTCGATTGCGATTTCGATTGCTTTTTCTTCATTGCAGCTAAACGATTTTCCGCAGCCCGTTTATCTTTTCTTATATTTATTATGTCGCCACTAATTTCATCGCAGAGTTTATAATTGGTAACTGAGCGTGCTTTATTCAACATTTGGTTCTTGAACTGAATACGGCTTTCAAGAGTGGCGATATTCTCTTGTAATACTTTCATTTCTCTTGCTCTCTCATCGGCATCCATTCTCTTACGCTTAGGAACATCGTCTGAATCACTTTGACTACTACGGGCTCGCGATCTCCCTTTGACAAACACATATCCATCATCACTCACTTTCTCCCTCGCACGTTTTAAAAGACTTCCTAGAAAGTGACGAGAAACAAGAAACACTAAAACATAGACATACATAATTAAAATACATGTTTACTTTTACCATTGACTTACTACGGGAACCATTCAGCAATTTTATAAAATACAATTGAACAGTAACTTCGAATAACATTTTGTAGCTTTAATGTCATCTTCAGGACAGATTAGTGTAAAGTTTAATACTGACATAATATATAGTTAAGAAGGAGGAGCCTAATAGTGTTACTGAAATATGATCAGTTCCTTAGAAGCCTTGTCGCCTTAAGCTCCTCCTTTCTTCACTATATTATATGACAGTATTTGTAACTTTACAGTTTACACTAATCTGTCCTGAAGATGACTAAAATATAGTCGAAACGTAGATTCATTAAAGCTACAAAATGTTATTGAGATCAAACATGAAACACAGGGCATGTCCTGTTATGATCAGCGGTTTTACCTGATCATGCATGCGTAATTTTTCTCGCTTCGAGTAATAGATATATAATGTAGCTCTCTCTCATATCATTTTTTATATACTGTGTAAGTTGCATACCGTAAACTTCCGACTATTGACACATATTGACTTTTGTTTTATAGTTAACATTCAAATGGGGTACATATACCTGTACAATATTGGCAATAGTCATTCAGAAAGTACTGTATGACTCACCTTTATCCAACACAGCCAAAGGGTTTTCCTTGGCTAAATCAACAGCAGCATTGTTCACTGCTTTCTGGTAGTTCGTAAGAGGCTTCCCTCTTTTCCCATATATCCTTGCTTCTTCATCTAATTCACTCTTTATATCTTCCTGGACTAGCTCCTAATAAAAATATTTCATATGTAAGTATATGACAACACCAACAAGCTATTACAGAAATCCATGATAAACATGCTTACAGTTTCTGTTGGTTTTCGCAGTGTCAGCTTTCCATCACACATTTCCAGACGCATACTGCCACTAGAAGTTGTCCCTTTGGACAGTGGTTTCTTGTTCAGATCAGCTATCTTCTCTGTCAGTTCCTGCTGTATATTTGCAGATATGGATGCTTCCGGTTTCCAAACTTCGTTGTCTTTTAACACCATTAACACAGTATTCTTATCTAATGCCATGACAACATCATCATCATCAATTACAGTTCCATCTTCATCCAAAACTACTTGATCTCCTTCTAGTTTTTCTAAACCTATTGAAGGAAACATTATTTATTTAAGAGAAGGGTAATTTCTTTATGGCTTTGCCACCTTTATAATTCTTTTGCAGACTTTAAAAAACACCCGGTGGAGTCCCAAATTTAAGAAGGCAACGCCGTCATTTACTGTAATAATACTACAGGACCTCTTTTGCATATATTAATAGTCTAAAGGTAACAAATTTTTAAAACAAAGTTACTATATGTCTGGCAGTCTAGCTAGATTTTTTATTTTAGTAATATAAATCATAATACTGATGTACTGGTTTATTAAAAGAAATATAACTTTAATAAAATATACAGAAAACTGCCAGTCTTTTTATAAATTAACATCAGTCTATCATCAGTGCATCATATATCATGTTAGCTAGTAGTACTGTATGTTATAAATATCGTATATATAAGCATCTGTATTTACTCGTTTGAGTGCTGTAGTGCTCTTAAAAATTTCAGAGTTTTTTTATGTGGCATTTGATGATCTTTTATTTGAGGGTGGTTGTCTTTAAAAAATAACAATTTACAAAGGATAACAAAAATATTAATAAAACCCATCAGAAAAAATTTCCTAGCTTTATTAAGCATATTAAAATTTCAAATGCACTGCAATTGTTTTTACTTGCCTTCTTTTACATAGTATCTTGGCTATATTTGGCTGAGGGGAAGTGTTCCTTGACCTCCCTCCCCCCAGGAAAAAGGGTTTAATTTTTGTGTCCCACCCGCTGTTCATCGACTCAAATTCATGACACCCCCCCCCCCCCAGATATACACAATTCACCTTTTTCCAGGGGCGTAGCAGGGTCCTATTTTCTGCAGGTGTCAAACAGCGAAGACAAAAGGTACTCTAGGTGGGTTGGCAATTTATGAAAAATTTAGTTGGCCCAACCCCCCAGGCCAACCAGCCCACCCCTCCTAAATAATGAGCGATCCCTAAATTTATAGGACGATGCTTATTCAGGGGCGTCGCTCAAAGAAGTACATGCTACAAGGCAACAACACTGTTTAAATACTGTAATCACTAGTCTGTACATACTTTTTCTTTTAAGATCTTCATAGGTCTGCACGACAACACAATATTTCTTTACCCTTTCACTGTCTGTGAGCTTAAATAGTGGCATATTCCACAATATTAAAAACCTAATAATATAAAAACAATTTCAGCATATTTTATATTGAAGAAAAAATACACATCACCATGTCACAACTTGTAGCTTTGAAATCGTTGCAAATTAAAAGCAAAAGATTTAAAGTGATGGGCGATTACTTGGTATCGATACCACCCGATACCAGGCTCAAACCGAAAGTAGTCAAGACTGCATGGTATCGAAAAAGTGTTTAGATTATTTTTAAAATTAGACATTCATTATAATCCTGTAATTGTGTCATCCTTTTTATAGTTATTTCTAGTAAAACTTATCAAACTTCCTTTACTTTTAATATATATTTGACATCCAAATTCCTGACCTCGCCGACAGAATAAATTATGAAAGAGGCAGGGAAATAAATTAATTTTTGTTTTTCCTGGATTAAAATAGCTGATAAAATCGTTTTATATACTGTTAAAAATATGTAACTTTCTGAAAATATATCGTTGCTGACATAGTATAGAAGGCTACTTCTTTAAAAGTTGGCTCTTTTATATTAAGTGACTTCCATTTTAATATTATTTTGAAAATTGGAGGAAGTAAAATCGTTTGGGTATAAAATCAATACTTCGATACATTTTTATATACGACACATTTTATCGGTATCGTATCGAAACGATACTGGTACGGTATCGCCCATCACTACAAAAGATTATTAATAAATAAGTTCAAAATATGATAGTTTATACTTGAATAGTTTGAAAAATATATGCAAATATTTTCAAAACAACACAATACCTTCAAAAAATGCAGCGACTTCGAAATTTTAATATTGAAATATAACAGTCCTTGACCAAGACCACGAAAGCAGTGCTTCCATTTTCAAAAAACATAATTTTCTTCTAACCGTTCAAAATTTCCTTATTTTTGAAAAAATTCCTTAAAACTGATTTTATAGTAATTTACTAATTTATCTCGAATAACGCGGTATTTCTTGTTCTAGAAGAAACATAGACGTGGCAGGGGCTGTATTTTTGAAAAAAGAAAAGATTTTGCATCTCGCAGGACAGGATTTTCAGCATATTTTGAAGCGCATTTCCTTGGAAATTGTCGTATTCTTAGGATTTTTTTAGAAATAAGGCAATTTCCTTCACATTTCCTTCAATCTTCCGAAATTTCCTTCAGATTCGAATTTCCTGATAATTTCATCAATTAGTTTATAAATTTCCTTCAAAAAGGAAATTTCCTTCAAAATGGAAGCGAAGTCATTCGTCCCAGGCTTTAAAACATGCTCTTCTTTCCGGTCACAACTTCCGGTTTCAAATATTCACTCCTGATCGCTGAATTCAAATCCCCCATATATGCACCCGGACCTCTGGGGCTTAACATTGATAGGTGCATAACACTTCCAATAATGTTTTGGATTCTATTTCGAATAAGACTATAGCGACAACGATATCTCAAAAGGGGCCGAAGTTATGTTCGGCGAAAGGTATGGATAGTTTACATTGTTCGAGACAATTGATTAATATAATGAAATATGACACCGCTTGACCTGTCAAAAGGTCATAAATAGTTATACAATTTCGCTAAAACTATATTTGACTAAAACTATCCATAGGTATTAGGAGATATTGTTTCACTGAATCGAATGGTGGTATTTTCATCTACATGGCGTGCACCAAACAGGAGATATGAATAGGCAAAGTGTCATAGTACGTGCACGTACTACGTTTATAGGGGCCTGCTTTTAAAGAGTTAAACCGATACAGGTAAAATAAACTCATTTATAGTATAAACTTACTATTTTTATTTGTATACACGTCTAGAAAATCGGGTTTTTTAGCATAAAGTTTGAAGCAACACTATTATTATGTTGACAAGGTGTAGCGAGCAAAATATATACCAAAAGTAGAATCTTTCATGAAATTTTGTCTTATACACAACTACATTAATATATATTTTCTCAATTTTGGCAAGAAGCAGTCTTGTGTTTGTAAAATATACAAACACATATACAATTATAATTTATTAAATAAAACGGATACATATATTATTAGCCCGTACTACTAGTACTGTATATAAAAACGTACATTGTTTACAAATGGTATATCCGTAATATTTGAACAATAATTTCAAAATCCTATTCCCAATTCGAAAATATAGTTATTCAAAGCAAAACAGTAGATTGTCTTGCGAATAAAGATCAATAAAAGAATTATTATTTTGTGCTTTCGCTTCACCTTGTCAACATAATAATAGTGTTGCTTCAAACTTTATGATAAAAATCCCGATTTTCTAGACGTGTATACAAATAAAAATAGTAAGTTTATACTAAAAATGAGTTTATTCTACCTGTATCGGTTTAAATAATTCTGTTTGAGAACGCAATGATTGGGCATTTCGCAACCAGGGCAGTTTCAGGGCAATTTTGGCCTTGTTGTTGGGAAATCCACTAGGCCTTCTATTTTTTCGCTTGCATCGGGCTTGTGTCCTTCCTCCGCCCCGCCACCAAATCACCTAGTCCCAGTCTTTTCATGTGAAAAAGCGCTGAATATTAAAAAAATATAAATAAAATTAGAAGGCCTAGGTCTAGGCTGCACCTTCCGTTTTAATATAGGGCTAGCGCCGCCCCTGATCAGATGCGTTCTTAGCCAGTAGGAGATAGCGGTTGTGGAAGTCAAATCTGAACATCTATCATATTATATCGACCAAAATATTTTTGCGCAAAAATTTATGTTTTAAACAATTGTAGTACAGCGAAAACAATACAGCGAAAAGTTGTCTCACACATCGTCGTCGAATGTGCTTAAAATTAAATAAGTCGAATTGTTATTATTCAAATTGATATTGCGCATGGTCCCTTAGAAAGATGTTCACCTGATTAACAGATTAATAACCTATAGTTAATAAAAAAGTGTGCATAAAAAAACTTTGCATTAAACCAAGAATATGTTATAAAGATGATTTGATTTGATGATGTTCTTTTATAATTACACTGGTCGCTGCGAGTGTCATAATTTGCCCTTGCTGAAAATGCAAGGAATTTTTCGGAGTTTTTTTGGTTGCCGCAAGTGTAACTTTCCATTGCGGCATCGTTGACACACGATTGCGCAATTTAGCTAAAACATGCTCACGATGATTTAAGGACCAGTTCTACACAATGCTATACAGAACGAATTTCGTATTTAACTACGTTACAAATCTCACACGCTGTAATTGTGGGGCGTATTTTATTATATTATATTTCATTGCACATGCGCTTGAACTTTTCTGTATTTTCGATATGATATCGCTGAACGCTATTGGTTTTGTATTGATTTTTATTGTGCTGTCCTCTGAATGTTTGTGATCATGAATTGACGGCCAGCAAGAAGTGAAAAACAAATTTTTGAATATTGCGATTGTATTTACCAACTGCGAGGCCAGTGTGAACGCCTGAGCAGGCGTCTTGTTTTATACAAAACTGCTTCAAACCTCCTATATACAGGGTGAACATAAAAAACTGAACATATTTGAAATTGCTCTCAATTTTGTATAACAGCTATTAGTATATATATATATATATATATATATATATATATATATATATATATATATATATATATATATATATATATATATATATATATATATAAGATGTTGTCTGCCGCGGCTGGGTCTTGAACCTGCGACCTTCGAATTACTAGATCGACGCTCTACCAACTGAGCTACACGGTCAGACGGATTTAAGACTGGAAATTATGAAATATATACTGAATGTCGTAAACATACTCGTTTATATTAATTCAGCATCGAACAATACTAGTTCTGAAAGTGTTATGTTAGTTGTGTAATTGTACACTCTGTAATATGTTAAGATGAAAATGTTCTAGAGTGTGTATTATATAATTTCCATACCCAGCGCAAGCAGAAAGATGTTGTCTGC